CTTCCTGACTTTTTCAAAGCTATCAAATTCTCTATTTTTCTCGCTTTTCTTTGTTTCCCAGAAACTGGCTACTCCATAAATAAAGCCCCCGGAGACGCCAGGATAAGCTACGTTAGTAACAATGTAAAATAGATCCTTTGATGGATTTCGCCCATTTTTTCGGTTTCCTCCAACAGTACCGCGACGCACGAAGAAGCACTGCGAAGTGGGGACCATTTTTCACGCGAAACTCCCGCGCAAACAAGCGTTCAAAGCGCGGAGCGGCGCGGCGATATGAAACACCAGCGCAGAGACGGCCGCACTTTCGTCGGAATTTAATATCGCGCGGCGCCAATTGCAAAGCCGCCGCGGTTTCATTCCGCGGAGAGAGAAAGAGACAGTCGCCGCGCGATTTTCTCGTCCTCCCGAACGACCTTCGACTTTGGTGTTTTAAATCACTGGGGAAAGGGAGCCGTTGATGCCGCAGTCCAGAATTCAATCTCGTTGGAGAAAGATCGAGATTTAGATGAATGGCGGGTCGGCGTGCGGTACAACCCGAACACCCGAATGGAATCGCAGATATACGCACGACCGTTTCGAGTAAGAAAAACCTCTACGATGTGTAGTGAATTTCCACTGTAGAAACCTTATGGTGGTTTTGAAAAGAAGGGTAGTTTATGAACTGAAATAAATTTTTGTAGATTTAATAGGTTTGCAAAGCGAAGGTACTAAATACATTTAAATCATTTAAAAGTTAATAATACGTTTGCTAACTGTATTTGAAAACGTCTACATACATTTATTGAAGATCGTATGTCTGCTGTAAATTATTTGTAAGCAATTTCTTCACGTTCATATTACAAATAATCTTAAAACCCTTTTGAACTTCAAATATTTTAAGGTAAGTAAAAAAAAAGGTTCTTCATGAAACATATTAACGTTGTCATGTAATTGTAAATACTTTTTCACATATACCTTCTACTTTCCACACGACACGTCACGTCTATGAATAAATTAATTCCTACTATCTAATTAGTTCCTACTATTTATGAAAGAAAGATGCAGTTTTAAAGATGAAAATGTCAGGATTTATAGGTTATCAGAGTTCACCGATAGAAATTTAATGCTTCAATTATAATTTCAATTTTTAACCCTTATACTCATTTTCTAAACCGAATTTTATATGGTAATATGCAATTCCCATTACAAAACCGAAAAAGGTAATTTAAGTTATCATTTCATTATATATCTGTATATGTGGCTCCAAACTTTCCAATACAAGTCATATTGATCGAAAATTTAAAAAAAGAACTGGAATTTTTTGTTCTCAATCAGAATTGATACACGAAAATCGATATGAAAATCTTCAAATAAAGTTAAAAGAATTCTCAGCACACCAAACGCGTTTAACGCTGCTATTTTTTGCTATAATTCACAATTCTTAGTGCTCATGCAGAAATAATTAAAGATTTTTTGCAAGAAAAGATGTCTCTTTTTAATGTACATATCTGCCAGAAATCTAGTGCTGTCAAATCATAAACCGCACATAATTGGACTTCAAAACTATGAAACAAGTGTTGCTGGAAGAGAACTAATGACGTAGACCATTACCCCGCTCTTTGCTGAACAAGAGAAAATAAATGCGCCTTCCAAATTACGAACTTTATGTAGAACGTATAACTTTGTCACCGCAATGAAGAAAATGTCATTACTTAATGAATGCATCAACAGCATTTTTCCATGGCTTAGAAAGGAAAATGAAAAAACAGAATTTTTCGGAACTTTGTGCTGGTACACAAACCGACGTCAATTACAGGCAATAAGAGTAAAAATTGTAAATGAAAATGCTTTCGCTATCCGTCTGAATACCAATTAAATAACTTTAACGGCAACTAAAAATACAATAATAAGTTTCTCAACTACAGTTCATTAACACTGAATCTGTAACATTTGTTTCATGTATTAGAAGTGATAAATCAACATACTCTATGATACTTGCTTGTAATTTCTAAGCTGTTCACGATATCTAAATCCCATGTTCGCCTAACAATACTGAATTATGAGTCAAGTAATATGCCGTAGATATATTACTTATTTTGAATTTTTGCAGAAAATTATTAATCTTTAATTTTTTAAACCTAAGTACAATATGTAACTTGTCATCTGCGGATACGTCGTGGATACGTCGTAAAATGAGGAGCGTATTATTATAAATAATTTCACAATTACTGAAGACTAGCTTTACAAAATAATTGTTTAACTATTCCTTGTTTGTATCACTTGAATCAAGAAAAAAACATTCAAAGAAGTAGGAAGATCACCAATCGGGCATTTCTCTGAATCAAGGGCATTGTAATACAGTTATGCTTTATTGAAAAATAGGAAATTGAGAGTTAATAAATTAGTAAATTAATAGCTACTGGCTTTATTTCAGTTACGAAATGATTGGAAGAAATATATTCACTCATAGGGCCCTTCCTTTCACGATCATGGATTACATTGTGGCGCCTCATCACAACGACGTCGAGTTAGTATTACGAGCCTCACGAGAAGGAAGTTTATAGTAGTTCGTGATATCTCAAACCACGTATGAGAAATATACTATAAACCCCCTCCGTTATTTTTAATTAACACTTTTTTCAGCCAATAATGCAAATTGCAGTCTGATGTGATAGAAAAAGCGATAAACGCCCTGATTGGGGCATTTTGTATGTGTAGTTAAACACTATTGGTTTTAATTTCACGAGTGGAATAGTCATTAAATTATTACAAGATAAATTTTAAACAAATCTTTTTGGCAGTATGTAAAGGAGGGTTCGAAGTGTTGAAGTGTGAGCAGTGTTACTAATCGTTCACTTATTAATTTATTATTATTATTATTATTATTATATTATATTATTATTATTATTATTATTATTATTATATTATTATTATTAATTATTATTATTATTCTTATCATATTATCATTATTATTAGTTAATCATGCATAAATTATAAATTAGCATCATCTATACTCTCACTCGAGTCAAATAAGCAAAAACTAAACAATTCTCAGAACTATTGCCAAAATAACGTCTGTTCTTAACCCGCCGATGGATGAGTGAAAAAATGTTAAATGATGCCGTAAGGCTTCGCGTCAGAGTCATGATCTGGGCTGTCTGGGTGACGCTCGGCAGCCTAGCATCTACGCGGCGTCACCCGGACAGCCCAGATCATGAAAAAATGTTACACGAACGGATGGGCTGGATCTAAGAGACCCGGGTTAAAAAATAATATATTTATAGCAAATATATTCGTTAGATAATTGATAGAGGACTTTATTATGTTAATTTGAAATGTAAGAAAATATTTTTGTAAATGTATTATTAATTTATTATTCTTATTAAAAATATTTGGTAAATTTAAGAAGGAACATAATGAGTCCTTCCTAATACCATTTCTGAAATAATGGTTCAATTTTACTTCACGTACAAGTAATACTACACAAATATAACATTATCTATATGGCAATAATACATTTTTCTAAAAATACGATTATGTACCGATTACAGTTACACGAATGGATGAATTGGGTCTGAAAGACTAAGCACGACACAAATTACATACAAAATCAAGTTCACAACCTATTCGGCAATACACTGAACGTTATGTTTGAAAATAAAATAAAATTAGGGAGACGAAACGTTTGCTAGTGCAATCAGTATGTGATTTGCTGAAGCTTTTCTTACCTCGTGTGTCTTACTGACACAACCCATCCGTTGGCGGGTTAAACGAAAATTCTGACTTAATTTTTCCTCGAATTCACGAGTACTCGTGTCATATTCCCTTAGCATGAATACTATTTCTAATATGGAACTATATACAGTATACATCAATTGGCATTGATGTTTACAAAATGGCGCAGGCTGCTTTTACATATTGCTTGAAAGAAGGGCAGTTGCTTCATTAGACGTATGGTGCAAACGTTCGGTAAAATATATGTATATATTTTCTCTTGCACAAACGATTGTAATAAAACACGACTCGAACATTTTCAACGTCATGCGACGATCTGACATCATGTATTCTGTATGATAATATTTCATTTAGTGCTAGTCGAGGAATTAACGAAATGGGGCCAAGTGATACCAAGGTGACTGTATCAAGGGCTAATAAAAATCAATAATACGAAGTATTTCTCCTATAAAATTCAATAATGCACAATTGTGTCGCAAAAATAAATAACTATTGTGTATAATTACCTTAATTTAAGCTCAAATGTTTCAATTAAAAAATAGATACGAGCTTCAAAAAACAGCAAGCTTCCAAATACAAATGGAAAATAGTTGTAAATTCATCTTTACAGTGCGGATAGAATCTTATTTCACATACTTAAGTTATTTGTTTGAATCCTTTCAAGTATTACCACATCTAAACCACGTAACATTTTATAATCGATAATTATTCCACAATGTTCTGTCTTTCTTATTATTTTTCTGGTGAGTTAAACTTTTGTTTCCCGCTATTTTTCGTTTGTAAACTTTCCTCACTGTCATTTTGCGAGTATACCCACTGAGAGATATTTCCATCAGTTTCACTTAGAACAAGTATTAAGACGCGGAAGGACACTTCGTAACAAATTGTGATTGAGTATTCATGAAAATTGATAAATTGTGGAATAACACAACACAACTGAAGTGCTTCACCTGTTTCTGGAGCAACCTGGTGTATGCTAGTTTTTGAAGAAAAACCCTCAGGGATGGTTATGTTTGTTAAGAACCTGCAACTCATTGAACAGCACTGAACTAATTTTCGATATTATTCGAACTACATTACTTTCCCTTTTTCTTCTTAAACAATTTGAATATCAATTTCATTACGTAATTTCCAATATTAATGCTAGTCCTAATCAAGAGGCAACCCCTACAGAGGGCGCACATGGCACTATTTGACCTCGCGGTTCAGGTAGCAGGGGCAGTAGCTCTCGTCGGCTCTTCGCACCAAGGGCGTCGCGCGCCGGCAGCCAGGGCCACGTCACTCACCGAGTGTGCGACAGCTTTGCTGTCTTCTGCGGCGGAACCCATGTCGGCGGGGGCGGCGACGGCTGTGACGACTACGATGGCGGCGGCGGCGGCTGCGGAGACGGTGACGGTGACGGCGGCGGCTGCTGCTGCTGCGGCGGCGGCGACGGCGGAAGACGCTGCACACAGACGCACACACAAGGCTCGCTGACGGACGTCTCCCGCGACCGGCGGCCGGTGCCGCGACGCCCGCCGCCGGGACGCGCTGCGCAGAAGCGGCCCGGTATCGCGTCCTTAAGGCACGCCTCTCGCGCCCGCGCTTTCGAACGCTTGCCATTCGATGTAGGAAGACTCGAGAAGCGCCACCGTGAGAATTAATACGTAATAATGCATTCGCTGTAATACATAGATCGGAAATCGATTCAAATAATTCCAAATAGCAGGCTTGTGGAAATAAGAGATTTTGATTTAAATGAAATTAAGTCGGGAATATATCGTTAGGAAGTAAAGATCAAACAAATTTCGTTTCAACATTTTTCGATATTTTAAAATCATTTTAAGTCAAGGAAAACATAATTAATGAACCGAAAATCTCAATCAATGGCTATGTAAAATGATTGGTCTATCTGAAGGATACACGTTTTGTACCAGAATTAAGATTACCGCCGTAAATAATAGTAATTAAACGATATTACATGATTCACATTTAAGACAAATTCATCCTCGCAAGAAACTGCACGCATTTTGTGACATTTTATCCAGAAATGAATGATAAAGTAATTGCGGCAGGAAGATAATAGAACAAAAATAGTTTATTGTGAAAAATCATTTGACGTAGAAAATAATATAATTAAATGATGCAAGGATAGAAAGTAAATGAAAGTAAATGAAACTAAACAAATCGTAGGTGTCGCCCGCCATGAAACAGCGTCCCACATTTTGCTACATCGCCGAACCTAGCGATTCCTAATCAATAAGCACGATATCTTCGAAATGCAATAAAGGTATTGAAAAAAACCAATGAAAGATTTCACATACTTATGAACATTGTAAACTTGTGCTCACTGGAATCATCCATCAGAAAAGAAATGATTAGTTGCGAAATCTTGAAAAGAGAAATCTTCAAGTCGTACACAAGGGCATTTGAAAGAATGGAGAAAAAATTAAATTACCGAAAAAGGACGAAAATCTCTCTTGTACTCACGTCAGGTATTGCTTTTTTTGTAAACTGCGGTTCTGCGCCATAATTTCCCGGAGTGTATTAAGATTTTTCGAAACAGTTTTATTAATTATCCGGAAGTGGAATAATGATTGTAGTTTCAAGCAAAAGATACCACAAGATTGTAATCTTCAGAGACATTTCACATTGAGTGTACAAGTTTTTACCTGAATTGATAAATATCTCTAAGGTTATGGAAATTCAATAATTTAAAAATATAAATTATAAAATATTCACACATGTGTAGACATGGCATAATTTGGCAAAATATTTACGTAAAAAATCACCTTGATTACGAGGGAAAATTGTACTTAAATAAAGATGCCTAATTCAACACAAATCTATACACAAGAAGAAAACTTTCTATCACGGATACAAATTTTCACTACTACGTACATAAAATAAACCCGTTTAAAACTGGTACGAATGAGAAAAAAAAATTAAGCTGAACAAGAAAAGAAGCACATTCAACTGAGGAAAGTCATAAATATTCATGACAATTTCTCCACACACTTGACGCAGAAAAATTTATTTCGACTGAAAATACAAACTGATGCATCTCCCTGTTGCGATAGTCGCTAAACTAACCTTGAAGAAAAGTTTGCGCACGAACTGAGGAAAAGAAAGCGCGTCCACTGGCGAGCGATCTCCGTGCGCCGCGAGGAGAGGGAACGAGGCAACGGCGGCGTGCGGCGCGGCGGGTCGGCTCCGCTCCACTGGCGGGCGGCGCGGCTCGGCGCGGCGCGGCGCGCGCTGCCCTCGCCGGCGCCAGCACCGGCGCCTCGCGCACGTGCGCAGGCGCGCCGCCTCGCCTCGCCTCGCCTCGCCTCGCAGCGCCTCTGCCCACACCCGGTACCGTCCCGTCCAGTATTGTCCCGTCCCGTCCCCCCGTCCCGTCCGCCCCGTCCAGTATCGTCCCGTCCAGTACCGTCCCGTCCAATATCGTCCCCGTCCAGTCAGTCCTGTCCCCGTCCAGTACCGTACCCGCCACGGCCCCGCCCTCCCTCACACTCCGGCGCCGACACCGCCCTCCCCGCCCCGTCTTACCTCTCCCGCCTCGCCCGTGCTACACCAGGCTACTCGTTCTGTCCTAAAACACTGTCCTCTCCACTCCCATTCCATCCCTGTCCTAGTCAACTTGTCCGCGCTTCACGTCACATGCTTCCCTGCTTGTCATGCCGATCCTCCTCGTCCCGTCTTATTCGTCCCTTACCATGGCCCTGCTCCACATTCGTCCCCGTACCCGCTCCAATTAGCCCATCTCCATCCCCAGGTCCCAACTCGATCCAATTCGTCGGCTTTAACCCGCGGTTCTGTTCTGCTCACCCCATCTCACCTCGTCTAGTCGCGTTGCAGCCCTTCTGCCTCGCTCTATTTCGTCCCATCTCGCTTTCTCTCATTCCTTTCCGCCCTCCTTCCTTCGCCTCGACCCGTGCAAGCGTAGCCCTCCAGGCCCACTTTGCCTGCACCGTCCGCTCAAGACTTCCATCCGCCCCCCCGCCTCCCCGGGGCGGCTAGTCTCTTCCCGCCCGTTCGCCCCGCCCCCATCCCGCCACGCCCCTCCCCGCCCGCTTCTTCCACCACTACCGCTCACCAAGAGGAGCTCCTTGATGATGCACAACAGCCGACGATCACCGCCAAGGTCGTTCGAATGAACCGGAAATTTGCTTCCCGAGACAAGTGGTCCCTCATTTATTCATTTCAGGCGTAAACAAACATGTGCGTCCTGCCCCGACTTTTTGAAGCGGTCCTTCCTAGATGTAGTCATACAATAAAGCTGAAATTGAACTCCGTCTTAAACCTTACTACTTTTTCTGTTTTTCGGTGGATTGTTTGGCAATAACCTGAGCACTTTGTTGTGCACAGGTGGACCATTACGTTTGCCATAGCAAACATCTTTGATTTGATTTGAGGAATCAGAATGAGATTTGGGCCAATTGTTGTAGATATGAGGGGATATAACATTTTGTCTTTTAGTTTGTAGCATTTTCAAGTTTTGAGATATTTGTAAAATGTTGACTTTCTTTCAATGGAAGAATATATTTTTCCAACATCCTTAATCTTATTTCTTATATCTTAATTCTTATATCTTAATTCTTATCAAAGAGACTGATAATATTTTGAGTATGAAATTAGTCGAATTAGAGACAGTTGCAAGGGCTGCTACTGGAAATAGTGTTGTTTAATTTAAAATCACGAGCTAGAATATCTTATTTCATACTCAAAATATTAGCTAAACATTAACATATGATACATCATTGCATTCCTTCTTTTTATGATCTATCAATTGCTGGCGAGAAAAATACATAATTACATTTAAAAAATTAATGATATCTCGAAAACCAAAAATTGTTCAAACAACATCGTATTAATTGTCCCATGATTTCATATTGTTGGCGAAAGCTGCATTTCGATATTGTGAACCGTTAAGAAGTTATATAGGATGTCTATAGTTGGTGGGGCTTCGTCGTCACAATTAATCAAAGACCACAATTACCAAATACATACGAGTAATTCCAAAAGTCGTGTAAATTTTGTATTTTTATTATCTTAATTAATGAATTTCATTGCTCTTGCTACTCAAATAGTGCAGTAAAATGGAACTTAAAAGGATCAATAAGGGGAAAGTTTTGAATTTGTTTACATTTTCAGTATCTGTATGTGTTATGTCGGGTAAAAAAAATATTTGTCAACAAAATATAAAAGAAATGTTTGCGAACAAGAATGTTGCTTTAAAACACGGTTTTCGTTCGAAAATTCCTACTTTTTTTGCTTTAATAGAGAAAATTTGAATTAGTATAGCTTACTTTGGGGCAACGAATAGCAACTAACGTCTCCAAAAGTCTGTAGTGGGTCAGGTATCTAGAAATGAATCTCGACAGCGCAGCAATTTGTACAACTCACTTTTGAATCCGGGGGCAGTCGCTTTGGACCCAGTGCCCACCACTTTAGTAAACTAAACTCCATCTGTCCGTGACCTTGACAGACCTTCAAGGCTACCTTCCAGTTCCCCGCATCCGAGAATATCATTTCCAAAGAATATTTCTGTTTTCTTTCTCCACAGGTTGTGTTTTAGCAATGCACATGTTTTCGAATTTTAAACAGATACAAAAATCATTCAACCATTCACACTCATTTAGACAATAAATAAATACTGCTACCGTTCACAGCATCGCTTTCTCCACATCACGCATAAATTCCAACTCGTTCACCCAATCATAATTAGAAAGTGGTCAAATTTAAATCCCGAAAGAAATTATAGAGAAGTACAGGGTATCATCACAAAAGTTCCTGGATTCAAGCAAAGTGTACCTCCCGGAAGACGAGATCCTGAATTAGGTTGATTATACATTCATTTTGAAACCAAAGTGTTTTGGGCGTCTCAAGTGTACCATTAACATCATTGATTTTCCATCAGTCTTCGAAGCGCCGTCTGCTGCAAGGGGGGATTCGCCGCCTGACATCCACGGCGTGGGGGTGCACGTGGGAGTGGACGTAGGAAGGGGAGAGGGTGTGAGGAGTGTGGGCGAGGGCGTGGCGACGGTCGTGAGTGAGGGCGTTGGGTAGGGGAGGGGCGTGGAAAGTGTGAAGCTGGACGAGGGTGTGCGAGGGTGTGGAGGGTGTGGCGAGGGTGTGGCGAAGGGGTGGGCGATGGTTGTGAGAGAGTGCGTGACGAGAGCTCAGGTAAGGGCGTGGGTGTAGTCGAGGGTGGGGTATGAGCAAAGGTATGCGTGAGGGTGTGGTGTGAGCGAAAGCTTGGACGAAAGGCAAAGGAGAGGGTGTGGGTGAGGGCGAGGGCGAGGGCGAGGGCGAGGGCGAGGGCGAGGAAGTGGGCGAAAGCGTGGACGAGGGCGTGGGCGTCGGAGAAAACGTGGGAGAGATCGAGAGTGGAGGAGTGCTCGCAGGCATAAGCGTGGGGGCGGGCGTCGCTTTAAAGACGGAGGCCGCCCCAAGGCGTGGCTTTTTCGCGTCCCGCGTTTGTTTTCGCTCCCGCGGCGGTGCGGCGCCACTTTGGCGCGAGGGCGATGGAGGAGGCTGGCGCTGAGATTGACGGGGTAGCGCAGATGAAGGCAGCCGTGGAACTATTTCTAAAGGGGAAGATTGACAAGTACTATGTATTCAAACGAAGGACGAGCGGAAGCTCCCGGTTAGAACCCTTGTCGCTACTTTCTGAAATCACATATTTAAATAGAACACACTACGAGAAATTGAATGGAGATACCAGGCTCCAATACGACTAATAGTTCCGGGGGTAGACGCGAAAGAAATCTACGCCAAAGTTAGGGAATTGAATGACAAATTTTGAAAAATATTAATTTCGTCTTTCTCTCAGAAATCAGATATATGTAAAACACTTTATCAAAAATCGAATGAAGCAAACCTGATTCCCATATGACTATTTTTTGGAGATAGACGCAATAAAAAATAAGCTTTATTTGATTAACAAACAATACCCCCTTTACGTGACAAATGGGAAAATATTAATTTTGTCGCTTTATTCTGAAAATACGTATATAGGTAGACCTCTTTACGAGAAACAAAATGAAGTAAACCAAACACCAACCCGAATAATATTGTCGGAAATAGACGCGAAACCAAACGGAGCCCAAGTTCATAAACAAACAATACCCCCCCGTTACGTGACAAATTTGGGATAAGATTAATTTCGTCGCTTTATTCTGAAATCACGTTTGTAGATAGAACGCATTACGAGAAACCGAATGAAGCAAAACGGACTCCAATCCGACTATTATTTTCGGAGATAGATGCAAAACAAAACAGTGCCTGAATTCGGGAAACTGCGAGACAAATTTCGAAAATCTTAATTTCGTCGCTTCTTTCTAAAATCACGTATATACGAAGAATCTTGAGGAGAAATTGAATTGAGAAATCCATACTCAAATTCGACTAATAATTTCGGAGATAGACGTGAGAAAAAAACTAAGCTTAAGTTGATTGACAAACAAAATTGCGTGACAAATTTTGGGAAATTTTAATTTTGTCGCTTCATTCTGAAATCACATTTGTAAGTAGAACACTTTACGAGAAATTAAATTTAGCAAACCCATAGCCTATGCGACTATGTTTTGAAGATAGACGCGAAACAAAACGGTGACTAATTGTGAAAGATCGGCAGAAAAATTTTGGAAAATATTAATTTTGTCGTAATGGGGGGGTATTGTTTGTTAAACAACGTAGGCTCCATTTTGTTTCGCGTCTATCTCCGACAAAATTATTCGGTTTGGTGACTGATTTGCTTCATTTCATTTCTCGTAAAGAGTTCTACCTATATACGTGATTTCAGAAAGAAACGAAAAAATTAATATTTTTACAAATGTGTCACGTAATGTGGGTATTGTTTGTTAATCAAGTTAGGCTTAGTTTTGTATTGCGTCTATCTCCGGAACTAATAGTCGGATTGGAGTCCGGTTTGATCCATTTCTCGTAATGCATTCTACTTATACACGTGATTAAAAAAGCGATGAAATCAATATTTTCCCAAATATGTGACGCAATTTTCAAAATTAGGCACCGTTTTGTTTCGCGTGTACCTCCAAAATTCCTTCATTTTTCCTCATTTATTTGCCGTGTTTTTCGAGCCTACTTCATTTGCTGTTCTTGAGCAATGGGCATAGTGCTTTTTGGAAAACTATTTTATGTGGATTTGTACAGCGATATGTTTTCTGCTGCAGGCCAGTAGTTAGTTGCTATTTCTCTGTTCGATGGATCAACATACATTTTCGAGCAGATGTTTTCCGTAAAGAATCTCTCGGCTGATTATAAGTTGGAGACATTTAAAGAAAATTCTCTTCGAAAGTATATGTGCTTCCTTCTGTGGCCACAAAATCGAACTGAATTGATGTCTTATTTTGCGTAGAGAGTCGGGCCATCACGCCCGCTCTTCAGTCTGACCACGCACATTTCTCTAAGCTCCTTTTCCACTAGCTGGGAAAGGAGGTATCACTCGGGCGGCGAATCAGGCGATTTGAATTTAGTTCAGAGGCTTCATTTAGGCTTGAGGATCTTTTACATGTAGTAAATATAGTAACGGGGCAGCTGGTTTTACTTCCCCTCCAAAGAAAAGGATACGAAGGATTTTTTCGACCTTACAAATCCACAGCTTCGATCAGGTTTGAACCCACGAACTTGGGTGTAGCCGCTTTACGTCTCCCAAATCCGAGATCCTACCCCTAGGTATTCCCCCTCGTGTGCGGGGAACGGACTGGCGTTTGCGGGTGCTGCCCTGAAGCGTGTTGTGGTCGCGGGCTGCTAGCTGGGCTTATGTGGTTCAGGGCATCTATTGATGTCACTGCAGTGCCTCTGGGAGTGCCTTAGGGGTCGAGTCCCCACGTGGCAGAATTTCCGACACTAGCTGCGTAGCTAC